ATAGATTTGTAATTATTTGTAGATCTTTATCGTCCAATCCAGCTGTTTCCAATATTTCTAGCATTTTGTTTTGTAAGCGTTTTGTAAGTCTGAATACTTGTTATTCGCTGGAATATTGAGCTCTGAATTCGAATTGTGCTTTGTGATTAATTCTAGCTTGTCTGTCTCTGATTGGATTCTAATTTGGATTACTTGCTCTACTACCTTGCTGACTGCACTAATCGGCCTGTAATTTTGCGGAAATGTATTGTTTTTTTCTGGCTTCGGTATCATGATTACATGGACTTCTTTTCATCGGTTTGATGATTTTGATGAGTTTGTTATGTTTGCTAAATGTACAATTGCTTGTAGAAGAATACGAGGGAAGATACTTCAGAGCTCGGTCAGTGTGGGACTTATTATTTCTTCTTGCTCTTGGGGCGTTTCTAGTTATGTTTTCCGTCTTGTCTTCATCTTGGTGATAATTCAGTGTACTCCATTTCTTTCTGTTTCTCTCTCTCTCTAGAGATTACATGGGGTCTACAGAGAGAGAGAGAGAGAGAGAGAGAGAGAGAGAGAGAGAGAGAGTCTCGCAAGAGAAAGTATTTACGGACGGAAGAATTTCATTGAGAAATGTGAAAAATAGACGATGCCAAGAAGAAAAAGAAAATTTTAAAGTCAAACCAGTAACACCGTGGCGCATTCAGGGGAGTTTTTGGGATAAACTCCCCTTCCAGGTATATAAAGTAAAAAATATATAAAGAATAGTAGGAACATGTAACTTGTCTTTCACACACAATACAAAATATCGAAAACGCTAATTTAATAATTAAATTACCACTTTAAATATGTAGAATACAATAATTATTGTATAAATACACAATAATTAATATTAATTTTCATTATATTTAGATATAGATACCTAATATTAGGCTCATGATAAGAGTAGACATAACGAGTCTGTTGCGAATAGCATGCGGCGTGTATCTGCTGCGGCCTTGTAGACTATAGAAAGGAGAGATCTCTACGAGAGAAGAGTGCATTTGACACTAGCCATAAAAAAGAAGAAAGGGAAAGATCAATCGAAAGATGGCAAGAAAAGTGGAACAACACGGAAGATGTTGTCCAGTGAACCAAGGTGAGAATCCTGAGCCTAAGGGGCTGGTTAGACTGTCTGTTTTAGAGAGTATCTTCATTGGTGCAGAGTTGAGTGTAATAGATGTACAGTGGAGATAAACATAATGTATAAAAAAATAGTTATGAACCCTGTGACTGTGAAAGAGATGATGCTGAAGATGACGGGAAGTAAGGAGAAATGAAATAGTGATCACAATTACATCCGAACAGTAATTAAAAAGAAAGAAGAAGCAATCGGACCAACGACACAGTTAAGATCTAGGTAAGAAAAGGGAGTGTTCCAAAAATGCGCACAAGTAGAAGAGGGTGGTTTTAGTTGGTAGGCAGGATAATAAATACCTGAATCTTTGGCACTGCTATCTTTAAAATAAACTAAAACTTAAGTACTCAAAATGGAAGTATTCAACCCCCCCCCCAAAATTCTACTTGCTCCATGAATATATAACTTGTTTTTTATTAGATATAAATAAAATAATTTGATTCCCATGTTTTTAACTGTTTTTAATTCATACTTACGTAAAATTATGATAACCCTAAGTCCTATTGTCCTATCTATAAGACGGGACAAAATTCACAAACTTAAAGAGTTAATATAAAGAATATTTTCTTATTTAGAGCAAGATTACTGATAATTATATATAAGTAGAATTTTGAAATTTAAAAAAATAATAATAAAATTGGGCCTTAATGTGATAAATCGATATAGAAATACTGACGAATCTCGAATACAATTATGGTTCAGAAATTGTTTAGCATATATTACTATTAGTCCAGTTAAACAAAAAATGTAACTGAGATGATTTTAAACACAAATGTTAATTAGCACTTTTTCTGTAAAATGAACCGTTCTCTCAGAAACGACGCTTGCAGCAACCGGCGGTTTTGAATGTCTGTTGCTCGAGCAAAATCAATGCTAAATAAAATGTGTGATAGCTTTTGATCAGAGTGTCCTATCGAAAAAAAAATCAAAATGCATTTTAAAGGTGACAAGTACAGCTTTGCAATTTTTGTAATCTTTAGCTTTAGATAAATAAACGTTGCCCGATTTTTGCTAGATTTTACAATGCTCGTGAGCTCGTGAGATCATTTAAATTTATCACTTTAATTGACCGCTCATAATAAAATTATAATTTTTAGAGACCAATCTTCAAACCTATAACATGAAATTTGACTGTTGAGTGTTTCTAAATATAACAATATTGGATTTAATTATGTGTTATCTGAAATTATAAACCTGGTGGGTATAATTAAGTTTAGAGGATCTAATGTAATATTTTGTTGGATAAAAGCTCATTCCGGAATATTAAATAATGAAATAGTAGACAAAATTGCTAAATATAATGAACCATCTAAAGAATCAGAATATAAATGTGTAATTGAAGATCTTAATTCTCATCTAAGGAAAAAAATGTTAAATTCATGGCAAACAATCTACAATTTATCCAACAAAGGCTTATATTATAAAGATAAAAAACCAAAAATACAGTCCTCGACGTGGTTCAAAAACTCAAATTTTAATAAAGATATGATTAGAATACTATGTAGAATAAGATTTAACCATGCTCTGTCTCCGTTGCATAAATTCAGAATTAATTTAGCTGAAACTCCATTTTGCGAATGTGGCGAAGAAGGCTCAATTGAGCATTTAGTTTTAAATTGCTCATTAAATACACAATGTATAAAACAATTTATAATAAAAATGTATGAGTATATCAATAAGGAAAAAATTCTTATTAAAAGACCTTTTAATTTATCAGATTTAATAAAAACCAATAACTTGCATATATATGAAATAATTTTTTGCCACGTACGTGAAATGAAATTGAATTTCTAAATGTATTATGGTAACAGTGTATATATTTCAAACAAAAGTTAGTTATAGAAGTCCTTTGTTTTAACCCAGTTGTTAACCTTTCTATCCGTGGTCTAATTTTGTGTTGTGCAAATCGCCTTGATAGACCCCTAGGCGTATGTAATAAATCAGCAAAACCATATATTTTCCTTTTCCTTCCAGTAAAAAAAAACTAAAAATTAAAAAAAAATAATAAAAAAAAATAAAAAAATAATAAAAAAAATAAATAAAAAAAATGAATAAATAAAAAAAAATGTAGGTAGGTACGTACTTATATGTAAGTCAATAGAAGATAAGATTTTATTGTTGTTACGGGTTCTCTCTATAACAATTGTTTAAAAAATTAATTAATAACTCAAAACATAATAGGCTAATAGACTATGTCTCTAGTCATAAAATAAAACTACACACACACACGACTGTTGAGTGGTGGTAACAAATTTGAAGCATTTAAATGTTTTAGGTCGTTTGTAATGTGAAAGTTTAAATCTAGCGTGTTTTCAAAAAATGTGTAAAATTCAAAACTAAAATTTCATGTTATAGTTTTTAAAGATTAGGCTCTAATTCTTGAAACTTTATAGAATCCGGTTAATAAAAGGGATTAATTATATTGATCTCATGAGAATCATAAAAATTGGCAAAATTCGCGCCATGTGTATTTATTTAACGCCTTTATAAAAACTCAGTTTATTTGCGGCAAAATACAAAAATTGTATACAAAAGTTGCACTCTAAACCGGATCTTGATTTTTGTCGATAGGACATTCGGATCAAAAGCTATCGAATGTATACCGTCGAGCTGATACAAATTTTATTGAATAACAATTTCGCTCGTAACTGACATTAAAAATTCGCTTCTTCAAGAGAACGAACAGTTCATTCTACATAAAAAATGCTCATTAACAATTTTGTTCAGAATTATTTTAGCTACATTTTATTTGAATTATTTTTTCTATGGCGTACAGATTCTTAGTATATCGATTTTTTTCCGTTTCCCCTCCCCCTTTACGAAGCGGTTTTTAGAAGAAAGCCCGAGGGTAAAAGTGGTAAACCTTTTTGCATCGTTTTTGGCGTCCTAAAATTGACATTTTTAGCAATATTCAGCTTGTTCGTATGATTTTTAGAGGTTCAGTGGCATTTTTTTATAACAAAAAAGATATTAATAGTTATAATACTATAAATAGTAAATCATAAAGATAAGCTTCAATTTATTGAAGACAATAAAAATTAAATGATACGATTTCAATATACGAAATCATAGATGAACTAATTTATTATTAGAATGCGAATACGCTCCATTTAATAATAAATATGACCTAAATATACATACACTGACCTAGCTTTAATACTGTATGTATTAAATTAATATGTAGCCAAATTGCAATATCTGGTACTCGAACCAATTTGACAAAATTGATATTTTATTCAATAGAATATACTATTTTTTTTTCAAACATCGCAAATAATTTTTGTTATGTACTATGGTTATTTGTATTTATTGTGTAACGAAATATTTTGCTTACCTGAGGGTAAGAAAATGGGGGTAGAAGATTGGGCTAACAAAATAATCGAAACTGGTGCGTACGATACTCAGGGGGTTGTTGGAGAGCTGGGTCGTGGATAAGTTGAGTTTTATACCTCTAGAAAACTCTAGAGGAGCTCAGTGGAGAAACCTATATGTCCACATAGTGCAGTTTACCTCCGAGGTCCCGAGATATTCTCTAGATTTTCTCTGTTTTCCAATATGATAATATCAGAATATTTTCAAAATCAATCTCTACAGTGTTATTTCCAATCTACGGCTAAGTTAATCAAGAAGAAGATAAAGATTAATGTATGAATAATAATTTCAATAGGAAGAGTGGTAGAACGGAATGTTACTAGAATCGTAGAGTGCAGTTAAAAAAAATATAGGAAAAATTAATAGAAAATTCTGACCAAATTTTTTAAAATGTCACCCTCGTTTAATTTAACTAAAAATTAAACTAATAAAATAGATTTACAGCAACATAAAAATTTGTATGTTTGTTTCAGGCTTGTGCTCCACGATACATCTGGTTTACCAAAGACTTAAATAGAAGAGATCCGGTTGGGACGTGCTTTGTTTCTAATGGAGCTTTCGATAATTTTGAAGAATATTCTCCTTGTAGAACAAGTAAGTAAAGCTATATATGACCAAAAAATGCAACACTTTGTATACAGTTATTTATTCGGATCAAAAATTTTTCTTTGTAACTCTTATCTGAGTTTTTATCTCGTTACATTTTCTTTAACTGAAGTTTTTTCTTTTTTTTTTTTATTTTCGCAAAACAAATTGTTTTTTTTACAAAATTTAAAATGCCAAATGCAAAAAATAAGAGTGATAATTTTTTTATTATCATATCGTCGTCATTTTAGCGACTTTGAAAAAGGATGCATTGAAGACATGAAAAAGGCCGGTTTTGGTTTACGGGAAATTTTTTCTTCAGGAGTTGCAGCTAATCCATCAACGGTGTTACGAGTTTGGAGGAAATGATCCAATGATTAGAATGATCGGCGTCATGGAGGGTCTGAATGTCCTAAAATGTTGCAAGGCGGTGATTTGTGCCTTCTTCCACTTCTTGCTCTAAGAAATAGACGGGACAGTGTACATCAAGTCAGATATGATTTAGTTGCAGCTACAGGAAGGGTAGTCTCAAGAAGAACAGTTGATTAAAAAATACTTGGAGTGGGAGTGAGAGCATACCGTCTGCTTCTGGTATTACTTTTGACACCACAGCATAAAGCTTGATGCTTAGAATAGTACAGAGCTTGGCAAAACTAGAATGGCCAATGTAAATTTATCTGCTTCAGTGATGAATCTATGTTTTGTTTGGGTGGCTCTGATAGGCGCATTAGGATAAGACATTTTCGAAGTGAGAGACGAAATATAGCCTTGGTTGTTAAACGTTATACAGCAAGACAACGAATAATTATGGTATGGGTGCTATATATTTGAGAAGCAGATGACCTCTAGTTCTTATTAACGTCATTCTGACAACTAGGCGATATATTAGTAAAGTATTGCAACCAGTTTTACATCCCTACCCACAAACCATTCGAAATGCATTGTTTTAACACGATAACGCAAGACCTCATATTGCTCTGATACCATGGAGTTCATACAAGAATCGGGTATAGAGACCTTGGAGTGGTCATCAAGATCAGCGGATTTGTCACCCATCGAACATGTGTGGGATATGGTAGGTCGAAACCGAAATCGATTCCCATGACTGCCAGCATACTTAGAAGACCAGTGGCATGCCATAACAAGAATCTGGATGAGAATTCCGAAATATAATATAGACTACTTAATTCGATCAATGCTCCTTAGAGTAACTGAGTGTATAGAAAATCAAGGAGGAGCCACTCATTATTAATTTTTTGACGAAAATGACGTTTCAAATCTGTTTATAATGCAGTGGAGTTGTTGGCAGATCAATACTCCGACAGAACTGTGCTTTCTCTTACGGCAGCTGCTCTTTTCTACGGTCGAAGGCCTTCCATCTCCTCTAGTGCACAGCGATGGAGAAGGAAATTCTGGCAGGGAAGCGCGGACGGTACACCCCCTTCTGTGTGAAAAAAAATGTAGCATACAACGGCGTGATCCCTTTTACCGTTCTTGGTAACTTGATTTTTATTCTTCTGTCGTTGTTGTAGGTCACTCGGGATTTCTTGGTCGCATTTTCCACCAGTTCTTTGGGGACGATTTCCGTCAAGTCGGAATTGTTTCCCAACTGTGGCTCCCTGGAGCCACATTCATTGCTGTGGCTTCAGGTTCCGGCGGTGTGTTGTCAGCGCTTCATTAGTGGTGATGGTGGCGTATCAAATAACTGGTGAATCTTGTTGAGAATGCGTTCCGCTTCCTTCCCTGGCGTGACAGGTAGCCCAGGTCTCTCTGGTGTTCCTAGTGGGCTCATCTCTTCAGGAATCTCTAGTATATCTTCCATGGCTGTTTGCTGGTTAAACTGCGTTATGTTTTCAGAATTCGCTGCTTAAATACTGTCTGTCTTAGGTGAGGATAGGATTTCTTTAGAGGTACCTTCCTCCTCCCATGGGTTTAAATATTTGACAGGGACTGTCACCTGTTTGCGGTTGCTATTATTCGACAATTTTAGTTGTACTATTAGCTGTGATTTGCATCGCCATACTACTATAAATAAATATTTAAAAAATATTTTACGTTCTAGGCACTTTTTTGCCATCGGTATATACATTGTTTTAAATAAATATAAAAAACATAGAGACCCGTCGATTTTTATATATAAATGTACGCAATTTCGACATTAATTTGAAGGTACAGGGTGATTCACTTAAGACTAGCATAGTTCATCATCTTTATTTTTAATGAAACACCATGTATATTTTTTATGTCTTTAAAAGCTCCTTAAGTCTCAAAACAGTTTATTATGTAGGGTCTATTATGAATAATATAAGACGACATTTTGAAATTATGTATATTCTTCATCAAACCATTAAAACACACAATTTTGAAATTAGTAATTTATCACACTTTAAATAATGGCATTTTTTAATTAGCCAAATACAAACATCAATTTTCTCAACTAAATATCAATATATTTAATTTCTTGACAAAGATTATTAATAATTTCAACACCTTGTATTATTCATAATTGCATAATATAGTTTGTTAAAATCAAGTTAACAAAGGAGCTTTTAAGAATTTAAAAATATACAGTGTTCAATTACAACTAAAAATGATGGACTATGCTAGAATTTGGTGAATCATCCTGTACAAAATTGTACAAAGAAATTTTATAATTTTTTAAAACAAAGACAGAAACCATTTTATTCCATAAGTGGTTTCCACCCCATACAATTGATGATTATCTGAAAATTGTAGTTAACGTCCAGTATAGCACAAGGAAATCATGGTAAAAATTGTTTTAATGAAAATTGGTTTTGTGTTAACCGAAGTGCTATTATAATTCTTCCAAGACTTGGGGAACACCCATTTGAAAGTGGTAATGACGCGGACATCCATCCGGTTCTGCAAACCGTAGCGAACATGTAACAATAAAACACTTTAAAGGTTTTTTACGGCCTGTAGTGCCATTAAAATTTCAAATTAAAAATATATACAAAACTAAAAAGGGGAACATGTGCACACCATCTGAAAATCGTTCACAAGGGCCACGTATGGCGAAGGCACGTGTTACCAGCGCCGGATACTTTGCATCAATTGTTTCTTTCGGCATTGGACATTTGAGGTTTATAATATATAAGTTACGACAAGGGTGGAATATTATATTACATAACGAGTTATTGTTTCTTTAATCAGTATTTGTTTTTACGATTGCTAGGTTGCTAACCTTGCCAATCACCCTTCCTATTTTATCCGGGCTTGGGATCGGCTGTGGTAACCCAGAGCTACTCAATCCATCCCACAATCACCACCATCTAACTACGGAAAGCTCGAAACTGAAGTGGAAGATCAAGTGAATAGAGCAAACGGAGAGGCAGGCTGCCTGAATGAAACAATATGAAGAAATAAAAATTATTAATCTGTCAGTGTAAATATAGTGGTAATTTAATTTTTATTTTTATAAACGAAAATAATCGTAGAAAAAGTATAGTATACAACTTAAGTTGAAAGCTTATTACATGCTTGTAAAATTACTGCACTCGCCGCTACGCGGCTCGCGCGCTACTTTTTTACTCGCATGTAATAAGCTTCTTACAACTCTCGTTGTAAGTGGATGGCATAGAACGATTTTTGAATACTTCTTTTTTAATTAATATTGAAAAAGTTTGTAAAAGTTTTAAGGTAAAAAATCTTGAATTTTCAATGATTGACTCTTACATTGGATTTTGAAAAATCTCCCCCTAAATGTGCCATCCGTAAGTGACTTAAAACCAGTTCTTAAGTTCAAAAGGGCCTAGCTGCCATTGCTTTGATGAACAAGTTAAACTTGATATAGCTACCATGACACTCAGGTGTACAAGGGAATGAGTAGGCCGATGCTATGGCAAAACAAGATTCGTTAACTCTACCTACGAGACCCGAACCTGTGATAGAAGTATCTTCAATTACTGGCCAGCGTAGTCTCAAAGTTCTTCTATCGCCGAGGTTCCAAGACCCTTGAGCTAGTAATGGAGTAAGGAGTATGGGACAGGCTAGGCTAAACCCCAAACGCGGCCTTCCAAGATTCTCACAACTCAACTACTCCTACTTAAGCGAAGAGGTGCTCTTTAGCCGTCAGTATGCTCATTTGCTACTGTAGACATGGACTGAGAGAGTTAACACAAGGTACCGACAAAGTATCGGTGTGCACCTTGAAGGTGCACAGAAAGTAAAGGGCTCCTAAAATTATAAATCAACCCAATGAACATCAACATTATATAGGTCAACTCCTCAACAATAGAAGAGCCACAATATACATTTTAGGTCGAGTGGAAGGGTGATTAACTGCCAACTTAAATTGAACCTAACCTAACACCAACAACTAAATAACCCTACAAGGCTATGAACTGAAATTAAAACTAGAGGAAAATGATCAAGAAATTAGGATGGCGATCTTAGTATCATCTAGAGCGGAATTAGAAATTTAGTAAATTAAAGTTCGAAGGACCACCTACTAATGTGAAAAAAAAACAAAGGAATTAAAAAATATTTAATTGAATGGCTAACTTTGTTACTATTACTAAAATAACGTATGGGCAAATTCGCTTCGAGAAGTTGTTATCTCACCTACTTAAAACCCGGAAGACTGGTGAGTTTGATATTAATTTTAGTAATAATATTAATCTTAGCTCTAGGTTTTATATATATATATATATATATATATATATATATATATATATATATATATATATATATATTTCACTGCAGATTTCACTGTCCTTATACTTCACTATTCCACTTCAAATATTAGAAGTGATTACTGTAAGAAAGACATAAAAGTATTAAAAAATATCTGGAAATAAAAACGATAGACTGTGATATATTAAAAAGTATGAATAATAGATTACTGACAATATTTCAACAGATAAACGACGAATGAAAAAGATATAAAAATATAATAACCTATGTATAACAGTGAAATCACTAGCTATATCACTGTATGCCAATTGTTCAAAGGAAAATACACCGCAGTCGTATAACTACACTTGAGT